TAAAGCCAGGACTCACCACTAACGCTACCCGGTACCACCGAGGAGCACTTCTCTTTTTCAATCACAGGCATGGCCAGCGATGAGGAATCCATTGGTCAGTTGGAGCAGAAGGAACCCGGACTCACAGAGGCGATGGCGGAGACACCCTGGAGCGACGGGATGGTGGCCAGGGCCGGAGACCCACCGCCGGAGTGGTGGTTGATGTGCGTGAACCAGGGGCCAGACAGCTCGGGGGTCACGATGACCCGAGGCTCGGGAGCTCAGAACCGCGAATGGGATGAGAAGTTCACCCAGTTGGAGGAGAGGGTCAAGCAGCACCTAGACTCCATGCAGGCGATGCTTCAGACCCTGCTGCTGGGAGCAGTGCCATCGGCGGCGAGCGATGGCACAAGCAACAGGGGTGAAAGCCCGGTACCCCAACTGGCACTGCCACCAGTGCCCCGGTCAGTGGACCGACGGGCAACAGACGCCTTGAGGCTTCGGGGCATAACCAGGAAGTTCTCGGGGAACCCTGAACAGCTGCATTTCCTAACGCATGTCCGGAGCTTCATGCGGGGGGGGGCCACCTGTTCGCTAGGGACGAGGACAGAGTCTCCTACGTGGCCGAGCTGCTGGACGGCCAAGCGGCTAGCTGGGTGATCGGACTGTACGACGCCAACGCAGCGGAACTGAGGAGTTTCCCGGACTTCATGCAGACGCTCCGGGACAGGTTTGAGGACACATTGAGTGCCAAGCGGGCCGAGGACGACATCCTGCAATGTAAGCAGCGGGATAAGTCTGTGTCCGAATACACCTTGGAGTTCCGGCGGCTGGTGGAAAAACTCACGGACTGGCCGGAATCCCTAAGGGTGAAGTACTTTAAGAGGGGGCTGAATCCGGAGATCTTGGAACGGGCGCTGGGTCGGGATGACCCGTCCACGGTGACAGATTGGATCTGGCTGGCCAGGACGGCGGAGTCGGCATGGCAGCAGATTCAACAGAGTGCAAGGAGGTGGGACCAGGCGAGAGACCGGCCGAGGGAGAGATCCCCAGAGGAGAGGCGGAGCAGCCGGCGACAGCCCGCCGGAGGGCGAGACACAACTAAAGCCCCGAACCTGTGCTTCAGGTGCAGAGGTCGAGGCCACCGGGCGGCGCAATGCCCGACAGAGCGGGAAGGAGCCCCACCCTGTTCCGAGGTCAAGCCACAGCATCCCTCTGGGAAGCGGGCGGGTGACCGGCTGCGGAAGAGTGCAGTGGCAGCGGTAACCGAATGAGGCCAGCTGGGGTGGTCAACTCCTGAGACGGTGTCTTCTGGGGAGGAATCGGAGCCGGTGGGAAACGGGGCGCACTCGCACTGAACGGCGTCCCAGTGCGAGCCGGGGAGCCAAGACGCACGGACCCAATTGGTGACGAGGACTGCCCCCGCTTTCGGGTGAGGATACGCATTCGGGGTGTGACGTCTGGAGGGGAGGCCCAGCTGCAGGCGCTGCTGGACTCAGGCTGCACCCACTGCCTGATGCACCCAGCGGTGGTCTCGGGGCTCGGCCTGCAGCTGCGACGCCTCCGAGAGCCCATTGCATTTAGCCAGCTAGATGGCTCGCTAGCAGGGGGGGGACCGGCTCAGTACTACACTGAGCCGGTCCAAATGACAATCGGGAGTTACCGAGAAGAACTGAGGTTCGTGGTGGTCCCGATCGCTGACTATGCGGTGATGCTCGGCTTGGCGTGGCTGCGGCGACAGAACCCACGTGTCAACTGGACGGCAGAGGTAGTGTGGTTCGGGGACGAGGAGCCAGCGAAGCGCGAGGGCAGGCGGAGCCGGCAAACGGCGGCTATCGGGACCGCGGCCGCAGACGAGCAGGCAGAGGATCCGAGGCACAGGGAAGCGAGGCAGGAGCAGACCGAGGCTGGAACCTGACCGGCGGCAGCAGTGACGGAGGCTCCGGAGACCCAAGGGCCCGCGGTGATACCGAGACGCAGGCAGGCAACGGCGGCCAGCGGGACAGCGGCGGAGCACGGGCCCAGACCAGGAGAGACCACAACGAACGGCGGCATCCAGAGGCAATACCAGAGCCTGGTGGCGGCATTCGGGGAGGAGGAGTCTGACCAACTCCCACCACACCGACCAAGCAACTGCGCCATTGAGCTAGAGCCGGGGGAAAAACTGCCCATGCCGAAAATGTACTCCCTGTCAATGAAGGAGATGGGCGCCCTTCGGGAATTTATAGACAAAAACCTCGTGCGGGGATTCATCCGACTCACGAAGTCACCACTAGCGGCCCCGGTACTATTCTGGGAGAAGGACAGCTCGCTCCGGATGTGCGTGGACTATCGGGGCCTGAACGCAATCAGCACCGAGTACAACTACCCCCTCCCCTTGATGAAGGACCTGCTATCGCACCTGTCTAAGGGGAGGGTGTTCACAAAACTGGACTTGCGCGAAGCATATTCCAGGGTTAGGATCCATGCAGGAGATGAATGGAAGACTGCGTTTAATACCCCGCTCAGAAGCTATCAATTCTCCGTGATGCCGTTCGGATTAAAAGGGGCACCGGGGGTGTTTATGCAGCTAATAAACGAGGTGCTGCACGACCTACTCTACCAGGGCGTCCTGGTCTACCTGGACGACATCCTCATCTACACCGAGACCCTGACGTAGCACGTGAAACTGGTGCGCACAGTGCTCCAGAGAGTGTTAAAGGTGCAGCTATACGCAAAACTCTCAAAATGCGAGTTTCACCGGGAGCAGCTGGACTACCTCGGCTACCGTATATCCAGTCGGGGGATCGAGATGGACCCGGCGAAAGTGAAGGATGTCCTGGGCTGGGAAGCGCCGTGGACCCGGAGGCAACTCCAAAGCTTCTTGGGATTTGCAAACTTCTACAGACAGTTCATCCCGAACTTCGCCCAAGTCGCTCTCCCCCTAACGGACTTGCTAAAAACCAAGGGCAGCGGGAAGCCTCCCAAACCCAGCATGGCGCTCACGTGGACTGCGGAATGCCAGGGGGCGTTTGAGGACTTAAAGCGGCGGTTCACGGCAGAGCCCATCCTGCGCCACCCCGACCCGGATCGGCAATTCATCATCCAAGTAGATGCCTCGGACGTAGCAACGGGGGCGGTCCTGCTCCAGCCCAGCCCGGAGGGGCCCCTCCACCCATGCGCCTACGCCTCCCGCAAATTCACCAAGACGGAGAGAAGGTGGATAGTGTGGGAGAAAGAGGCATATGCGGTCAAGTGGGCCCTAGCCACGTGGAGGCACTTACTGGAGGGGGTAGCCAAGCCGTTCGAGGTGTGGACGGACCACAAGAACCTCGAGGCCCTGAAAACCCCGTGGTGGCTATCCCCCAAACAGGCGCGTTGGTCCCAATACTTCGAAAGATTCAGTTTCACCCTAAAACACATCCCCGGGAAAAGGAATTTCCTCGCAGACAGGCTGTCTTGCATGCCCCAGCATGCCAGCCTGCGAGAGGAAATCGTGGACTCCATCATCCCCGCCAGCAGGCTGGCTGCAAAAGCTATAACCCAGAGCCAGACTAGGAGAGAGCAGCAGGACGCGGCACCTGAGGTAAAGCAGGGGTTTGCGGAAGCAGCGGAGCGGGACACTTGGCTCAAGCAGAACCGAGACGTGCTAACCAGCCAAGGGGATTTGTGGTGGCATGAAGGAAAGCTATATGTGCCCAAAGAGTGTGGCAGGGGGTCATGGAAAGAGCCCATGACAGCCGGAGCACGGGGCATTACGGCTTCGTGAAAACGCTCCATTTAATTTGGCAGCAGTTCTGGTGGCCAACGCTCCGGAAGGACGTGGAAGCATACGCGGGGGGTTGCCCAGTGTGCGCAACAGCAAAAGGGGCCAAAGACAAGCCTAGGGGGCTAGTCCAATCGGTGGCGGATCCCAACGGCCCATGGCAAGAGATCGCCATGGACTTTATAGTGGAGCTACCGGAGAGCAAGGGGAAGACCGCCATTTGGGTGGTCACGGACTTGTTCTCCAAACAAGCACACTTTGTAGCATGCCGGCAAGTCCCCACGGCAGAAAGGTTGGCGAGGCTGTTCGTGCAGCATATCTACCGGCTACACGGCGCGCCCCGATGGATCGTCAGCGATCGGGGTGGCAAATTCATTGCGTGGTTCTGGAGGGAGTTCCTGAAGCGGGTAGGGACGCAACAAGCCCTTTCCTCTGCGGCACACCCGCAGACGGACGGAGCCACGGAACGCCTGAACGGGGGCTCGAGCAGTACCTGCGCTGCTACGTGGGGCATCAGCAGGACGATTGGGCGGAGCTACTGCTGTTCGCAGAAGTAGCCTACAACAACGCCGTCCACAAAAGCACCGGCTTCTCCCCATTCAAAGTGGCCACCGGGTGAGATTTTGTCCCCATGCCGGAATTGCCTCAACCGGCATCCCGAATAGACTCTCTGGACTCCTGGTTCGCCCAGATAGACACCACGAGGTAGGCGGTGCGCGCAGCGCTGCAAGGAGCCAAAGTGGAATATAAAAAATACGCCGACCGCAAGAGGCTCCCCGAGTGGCAGTGGAAGGTGGGGGCCCAGGTGTATTTATCTACTAAAAACCTGAAGATGCACCAGGCTTCGAAGAAGCTCAGCCCGAGGTTCGTGGGGCCGTTTCCCATCACGGAGATAATCAATCTGGTAACTGTCAGGCTAACGCTGCCCAAAAGCCTCAGAAAAATCCACCCGGTGTTTCAATGCAGCTTATTGAAGCTGCACCAGCCGGGGAACAACTGGCACAAGGCAGAGGCGACACCGGCCCCCATCATGGTTGGCAGGGAGCAGCATTTCGAGGTTAAACAGATACTGGATGCGAGGAGGCACAAGGGACAGATCCAGCTGCTGTGCAATGGAAACATTTCCCCAAGTCCCACAGCGAATGAGTAAGCAAAGCCCACGTAAAAGCGCCGAACCTAGTACCGGAC